ATTTTAATACTTGAATTTTGTAATCCAGGTCATAACTTACCAAGTTCACGTCCACTTCAAGCTCCCAGAATCTGTCATTCATGACACCTGCATTATTTATCACGATGTCCAGTCGCTTGAACACCTTTAGAGTCATCTCGAACGCCTCTGAAATGATCAAACATTTAGTTTTTAAGTTAACATCTGCCTCTAAATATCTATGTAGCTAAAGGAGAAACTTCTCGTTATTTCCGTTAACTCCCCCTTAAAAGTTACAGGCAGCGTTAAAAATAACTTGTAACGTCATTTTGCTGAATCTTGTTTAAAAAAATCTTACATGTTCGGTGGTTGACATGGGTGTGTGACAACTAAACGACTTTTAAAGTCTATACTACCTCAAATAGCTTTGGTTGTTTCCGCATAAAAATGCAAGTGTTGAATCAAACATTTTGGAAAAAATGTACAGGTGTCCCACAGCTATGCCACACGGAGGGAACTTTCCCTCACCTTGAACACCGTAAATAGGAAATCTTATTGAAACAAAACAATTCGAACTGCATTCAAAGAATTTTAAATTATTGTCTTTCTGAACCGGCAGCCGAACCCGCCAAATATGAAAGAAAAATACCTGTAATTTTAAACTGATCAAAAACCTCAATCATAAGGATTTTTTTGAATTGTTTTCTTCTAAATTACATAGCATCTCAAATAAAAGGAAGACCATGAAATTTAAAATTTAATTTAAAATTTTGTTCAGGAAAATGCTCTTTCTTCGACAACTGATATTATCATTTCAAAGTATTACTAATGAGTACAAACTTGAGAAAGAGATATTATTTCCCTGTTATAAGTGCATGATAAAATGTAGATATAATGTAATCTACAGTTAAACAGCTTACCTTCATATTGTGGGTAATCAGTAACATCGCACTGGCAGAACAGAACGTTCTTTCTGCCGTACTTGGCACCCAGATCGTCGGCAATTTGCTCGCCGTTATCCGAATCGATGTCGCATATCGAGACCTATGTGTATATAAATAATATGTAGTCTACCTATACGTTTTGAATGTACAAAGGATTTTTAAGGGTTTAATTTAAAGGCTAGTTTTGTACAAAGGATTTTTAAGGGTTTAATTTAAAGGCTAGTTTGACTCCTCGGATTATTTCAAAGCTGTCTGTTTGAAAACCTTACACTTAGTAATTAATTTGTAGAAAGGCACTATAGGTTAGGTATAGTAAAATGTGTTGTACGAATTTAATTTTACTACTCGTCATGAGTACCTACTTATTGAATAATAAATTTAGGAAAAAAAATTAGGAAGAATCACAAAATGAAGTTTTTATTTTAGGGAAAGTTGAAATTAGATTTTTATTTATTTTTTCTTTTTTATTTATTATTTCAATTTACAATTAACAAAACAAAATAATGTATATATATGTATAATGTGTATATTTTCTTCTTTCCCTTGTTTTTAGAACGTGTACTGATTAAAATAAATACAATGGGATAGTGAAGCTTAAATCACATCCTCGAAACGGCAAAGAAAAAGTCAGTAGAAACCTACATCTCATCAATGACTAGCGGCGCCGGCGAAAATCAATACAAGCCTGCCGGGCAGGGGTAACACTTGTCACCTTACGATATGACATGACAATGTAAGTAAGCACTGTATATAAATATTTCGGAAACGTTGGCCTTATTCCAGAGAACTTCATGCAACAGTTATTTTACCTTGAACTTAAGAATACATTGTTGATAAACCATGCGCGATTACGTGTGTGTATTTATGTTAGGTAAAAACATGACTTACTTTGGCTCCCTGTTTGAGGAGTTCTTCGCTATACGCGAGGCCGATGCCGGCGGCCGCTCCGGTGATGAGCGCTACTTTTCCTTTCAACTCCATCACTTGTTTTTCTCCGCGGTGCAGTGAACAAACTACGCCCTGACTACGGGTTCGATCGCGACGGGAACTCCGGGGTGAGAGGGGCGTCTCCCTGTCACCCCCCAAATTCCCCTTTGGTAGTAAATATACGCACGAATGCACGCCGGACTCCCTTTTCGCGCACGTTGATTCGGAGTACTTGGATGTGTGGGTGGATTTTCAGCGTTTATCCTTTGTCATGCTCGATAAAGTCGTATGTGACAATGGTAGTGTTATGGATATTCAGTTTCAGGTTATATCTGAATGCAGTTGTTGCGTTTGAGTGGCCACATTGAGAATTCGTGAATCGAAACCGGGACCTATGCGTGGCAGATCAGCATGGTAACAGTTCGGCCACAGAGGCAGTTATAATAAATGGTACTTGTAAATGGTACTGGAGACAAGAATTATATTATTGTTACTTATTATTACTTTAATAGTTGTACCCATAGATATAGGTGTACCTAACGTTGTAAGATCATCACTCGTAAATGAAACAAAATAGTTCTAGTAGTTTTTCTTTATTTGTGAATTTCTCAATATTTCAATCAGGTACAGTAAATTTTTCTCAATAAATAAATCAATTTTGCATTTTTTTGAATTTTTCATCTAATAATGACCAGCGAAAATATCACAGATATAACAATATCACGAAGGTCCTTCCGCCCACCGTAATACCGTACACATTTCCAAAACGCGACCAATCTGATTTGGAAGGACGCGAACTGTACACAAAAATACCAAAATAAAATTTATCACAAATTACACAATACAAAAACTTGAAAATTTACAACAAATCCCTCGCTTTTAAAACATTTCTAAAATTAATTTCGTTTAGAGACTTCCCCGCGATTGGGCGTCTATATTTACAATGGATAAGTACATAAAATAATAAAATACAAATAATAATTCGGTCATGATCTGTACAATAAATAAGCCATTTAACCATGATTTTTTGTTTGATATATAAAATAGAATACACAAAACGCTATGTACAAATCAAAATATCACAGTACACACACGATGGAGCGAAGTGCCCTCGTGAGCTCTTGACGAAAACTGGCCAAAATTTTCTGTTAGAGTCTCGCATCCGAAAAAGCTTAGTGACGTTGGTGGTACCTATCATTTACGTGGAATTTAAATAGCGCGAAGGATATTTGGGGATCTTCGAGAGCTGAATTTGGTTGATGCGAACAGAAGTATTTTGGGCCAATTTTCAGGGGTGATGTGCTTGATCTGCGCCGGCGGCGGGCACCGCCTTGGCGAGGTAGGAGAAAGAGCGCGCGTTCGGCAGTCCGGCCAGCACGCATGCGCTGAGGGCGGACCGGTTCAGATTCATGGGCGCAGCGTCGTACCACTCCATCGTGTCGCCGTCGTAACACTCCACGTGGGGGATCGTCGTCGACCCTTCAACATTTTTATTTTAACACCCTGTATATTTTGGTACCCTAAGGCTGCCTTTCCACCAGAGATGTGCGAGGTAGCGAGGCGGTGGGAGGATGTGTAGCGGCGCTGTGGAACGGTGCCGTTTCCCACCAATGCTGGGCGAGGTAGCTATCCGGTGAGAGGGACTCTTTTCAGCTACGCGTGGGCGGGGTACGGTGTGGTGAGATGAGCGGTGGCGATGTGTCAGTGTCAGTTAGTATCATACTTTCAGTAGCTCTTGTTTGCTACGTCGTTCTGCACACATTCCTCACTCGCATCCCTCGCACGCATTTCTCGTACACATCTCTCGCTATTTTGTATGTACAAATACTTAGCTCCGCTAACCTTTTTCCACCGGAACTGAGTTAAGCGAAGTTAGGAAAATGAAGTAATCCTATTGGTGGACTTTTTCCCTTATTCGCCTTAGGACAGATTCGCTTTACGACAGATTAGCTTTATGACAGATTCGCTTTATGACAGATTCGCTTTAAGGCAAAAGTACAGACAACTCGACAATAATTAATTAAACCATTTATTTTTATAGTTGTTACGAAAAAAGAATATTTAATCCACATTCATAACTTTTTTTCATAATTTGACCTGAAACCATGTTCGTAAACGCAAACAAATTCGCTTCTGGCACTCGCCGGCCGCTGCCGCGGCACGCTCGCTTCGCTCGCTCGGCTCGTGCGGCTTTTTCATATACTAACCTAACCTAACCTAGTGGATGAAAGCAATTTGACCTATGTGAAATACATTTGTTTTCTAAAAGGTGTTGTTTCTCGTAGCTGGTTATGAAAAAAAGTTATGAATGTGGATTACTTCGTATAAGGTTAAAGGAAAAGAAAATATTAATGCTGACTGTAGCTAGTTATAAAAACATAATCATAATTATTCGTTTCTTAACTATTTGTGATTGTCAGTTATGAATGAACACTTCGTATTCTTGTTTAAAAACCAGTTGTGAAAACAATAATAAAAAAGGGTTTTTCTTAACCAGTTAAGAAAACTTAGTTATGAAAGTGAACTAAAGTGAATTGCGTTTAATGATTTAAAAGAACGTCTATACCTCTCGTGTTTGAACCTATACCTTTTTTTACTTAGGTACTATTTTAGTGTACTTAACTGTACAATTTCTGCCGTAAAGCGAATCTGTCATAAAGCGAATCTGTCATAAAGCTAATCTGTCGTAAAGCGAATCTGTCCTAAGGCGAATGATAGGACTTTTTCCTCGCACACCGCCTCGTTACGTCGCACATCTCTGGTGAACAGGCAGCCTAATTCTCTAGATTATAGCGGGTACCGATTTTTTTGGTCGTCGTTGACTTGTTGGTTGGTTGGACGTTATCATAATTGGCACAGAGTTGAATTTAAATTTTAAGTGTCAAGCTTGTCGTGCTATTGACCTTGTACCATATTCGAGGTTTATAAATACCTACCATACACTCTTGTCTTTCAAAATTGATGTGTTATATATTAATAACTAACGATCCATAAATTTAGATTTTAAATCTTCCGTGGTTATTCACTACTAGGAATGATTACCTCGTCAGTAAGTATGATTTCTTTTTGGAAATATTTCAGAAAGTTTGCATGCTCGCTTTCATGCGTTTCTCGCTGTTACATACATACAACAAGTATTCGATATTAAGGTAATCGTCGACAGCGAAAGACGTAGACAGATAGGTCTGTTTTTAAGCGTCAAACATACAGAGCGGGTACGGGTCGGATCGGGACCACCGCGGGTCTAATTCCGTGTATTTATATGGACGACAACACACTGTGACTGTGACTGTGACCTGCACTCGCTCTCTGTGCGTTTCACGCCTTAATGTGCTTTAAAGTTCCGAAATGTCGGAAAAACCGAAAAGAAACCATACCGTGGTAAGAAACCTGTTAAATAAATTGTTTTCTAAATCAACAAAATACACAAAAAATACCATTAAATCCTCCTATGACAAAGATCATATCGTCGAGTAGTACCGTGGCGAAATTACTCCGAGCGCTGAACATCTCTGTTACTTCCTGCCACTCGCCACCTCGTTGAGGATTGAATCTTTCGCCTGTAGCAAAATGATCCTTAAAGTCGTTAGTGGACATTGCTGATGGAATATAAGTCGTCTGATGTGAATACTGAAGAGTTATAACTACCAGTATTTAATCGACTGTAACCATTGAATCCGCCGAGTGCATACAGACAGTCTCGGTATGCGATGAGACTGACTCCCGACCGAGGGCTGAGCATTGATCTGATGAAGCTCCACTGCTTTGTCTCAGGGTCAAACACTTCAGCCGAGCTTAGCACCTCTTGACCATTGAATCCGCCCACTATGTAAATCTGGATCGTAGAAAATGAAATGTTAAGTGTAACTTTTTTAACACCATAATGGTCTTCAGTTCCTGTTATATTATTGCCGAAAACATGAATCCAGACAAAATCGCAGTAAGCACCTTTTGTAGATATTTTAAAGAACCATACATCTAAGTTTTAATTAAGTTTTACTGAATGTCATGGTGGTGAGAAATCCTGACATACAACAAAACTTAATAACAATTAATAAAGTGACTTCTCTAGTAAGCGGCTGGTAGTTGTAAAGATAGCTGGTACCTCCCTAAGTGAAGAAAAAACTTTCATAGATTCGGCATAGATGGCGCTATGGCAAAATATTAAGAAAAAACAAAACAGATCTGCTACAAACACATGGAAAAATTTGTGAGGTCGGCCGGTTCGTTCCGTGACACAGGGGACATAACGTTTGCCACGGTTTGCTGGGAGACGTTGTTTTTTTTTAAGACTTCGATCTTTGTTTAATAATTATTACAGATGAAAGGGATATCCAGTAACTATTGTTTCATCTCTAATAATTATCAAACAAATATACCGGGTGGAAATTCCCACCCTGTATAGTGGAACAAAATCCGGCCGGGTACCGAATGTTTAAAACTGAGGAAAATTCATAATCAGTACCCCAAATAAATTGATTTATTGATTGAATATGATACTAATAGGATAAACAGCAACTACAAGATCGTTGACAATTTGTTTATAACTTGTAAGAACTATTAATTAATATTAAATAGTACTCAAATTTCAATAAAGGCAAATTATTGTGGATGAAGACAAGTTTTTCAGCATTAAGTGATAAAAGTTGGTTCTGTTTATTTTTATACACGAGACCAGCTTCAGAGGGCAGTTTTTCACTATAAACTCTTAGAAACTTTGTTAAATTTTAAGTATTAGGTACTTGTTATTGCCAGACGACCAAATGACAGCATCGCTATCGCGATCGATTTCAACTGTCGTCAAAGACAATGTGTATCTACAATAATGAAAGGTGTAAGTAGAATATTTTTTTGGCAAATCTGGTATGAAGCCTTAGAATTAGTTAGATCACAAACCAATTAATGAAATCAAATAGAAACAAAGCAATAACGGACGTATCAAGTGCTAAGCTTATACTTATAAGAACCAGAAATTTTAATACAGCCAAAGAATGGCTTGCATTTGGCACAACAAAGCACTGCTATAAAAATAGTGACTAATTTGTAATTTTTTTCACTGTTAACATTTTCTCTGTTATGTCTTTGTTTGTATTATCGAACAATTTAATCGTTTTTAAAAAACCATGTGCTCACAACAAATCATATCGTCGTCAATGTGAAAGTGAAGAAGAAAAAATCATTCACCGATCACGCAATCACGGCTATGCGCGCTGTAAGCCGGTCGCGATATGTTTACGGCGGTGAGGCAAATATCCGGCTATCCGGCCTGAGTTATCGCCGAATATCCGGTATCTGGCCAAGTCACTGTCCGATTCATCTCTAATAATTGTACCTAGCTTTGTTGATATTTCCTATCAGCTGTCTTCTGTACTCTATCTTAGGTTCGTTTTCTCTTTTATTCGTTAACAAACATTTGTTAAAACGTATCAAAGTAAAGACACCAAGACCTATGAGACATGTACCTTGCCCGTCAAAGACGCGGCACTGGCGTCGGACCGCTGTTTGTTCATGGGCGTGGTCATCTCCCACTGGTTCTTGTCCGGGTAGTATCGCTCCACTGACGACATACGCGTGCGACCGTTGTACCCTCCCAATGCGTAAATTAGACCGTCTGTGCAAGGATTTAAATTGCTACATGCATGGTTGCTTTCTTATTTAACAGTAAATTCGAGAAAAACATTCTAAGGCAAAAAAATAAAAGAATCGCCCTTGTACCAAAATGAACTATTAAAGTCTCGAAATTGTCTCGTAAAGTTTTTAATGACTTAACTAGAAGATTCTTCTCCAATGCGTTATTTTGTGCAAAATTATAATGAAGATCTTACCGTGCGCGACAACGCTGACATAACATCTTGCTTGATACATACAAGCTCTTTCATGCCAAGTGTTGGCGACTGGGTCATAGCATCGCACGGTGTTGAAATGATCGCTGCCGTCGAAACCTCCGATCATGTAGATCAGGTTATTTAGAGTACAAAGCCCGTGATATGCTCTAGGCGTCAAATCCATGTGGATAGAGAGGAACCATCGATCGGCTCTGTTGAAGTTTTACAAAAAATGAAATGGAAAGTTGGAAAATTCATAGTTCTCCGCTAAATACTCATTCATTATCCTGAATTGCAGTCCACCTTGTCGTCCGGCGCATAATGCTTGATCATGAATGTAGTCGCAGCGTGCAAGCCATCCTGCAATGCGTCCTGCGAGACTCCACACGTGCGCCATATGCAGGATATTGTATGAGCAATCTCCTGCCTACGCGGCGGACTGCCATGCAGGTAGTGAAAGATCCGTTTTATACAAGTCAACGAGCTTATGTAGTATGTAACCGATAATTTGTTTTTATTTTATATTTCTTACTGGCAACAATGCCATTTCATGCGGAGCCTACTACATTTCAAAATTCTTGCGCGTATTTAGATTATAGAGATTGATTTCACCTTGTGTCATAAGTTTCAACGAAGCTAGTGGGACTACCAGCGCTCCAGCCACCAACAGCGAAGAGTATTTCGTAAGGTATCCGAGGTCTTGCCAGCGGATCATTAAGATCAGCCTCTGTTCCGGCTCTTGAGTCCAATAATGTTAAAAACACCACCGCTGGGTACAATGCTTCCTGGCACTTCTGAAAGAAATGGTAATAAAGTAAACAAAGCTCAGATAACATAGATTGGGGACCACGCAGATATGAACAAAAACATACCTCATCTTCTAGAACCGGCTGCCACTGTAGAATTTTTGATTTAAAATATTTGTAACTAATGTGACCAAATCGTACACAGGCTAACAGCGATGGAATACACTTTCTTCTGTTATCTAAATCATGTTCTACCCATGTTTTAACTGCTTGGAATACTATTTCTTCATTTCGTACATTCAATTCATCGTCTCTTAGTACGTCTTCTAATTCTTCATAAGAGAGCGATTTGAATTCACTACATTCTTTAAGTATTCTGCTAAAATTCTGTCTTATATACAACTTTCCTTTTTTCTCTAATTCCCCACAGAAATAACACCTAGCAAACTTAAATATCCCAAGACAATTGTGGGGCCTCAACTCACGCAAGAGAAATTGACAACATAGTTGTATAACACCGACCACGTCAAATTGATCCGCGTAAGGCAACAAATATTCTACATTTTCAGCGGTTACTGTACACGTCCCTGTATAGGCATAATCAAGAATTAAGCCCATGTAATAACTAGGGACATCGACGAAGATTTCCGTCTCTTCTGGCTCTCCCTTCTTTAAAGAGTTTATAAATATTGCTCTGAAATAGGGACTGACCGCTGAAAGTATCGCCCGATGCACTCGAATTGGTTTCATATCCCTACATACGATTGTGCCATCACACAGCTGACCATTCTGTCGCAATTCATTCCATATCGCTGGGAATTCTACTACTGAATAATTTTCAGGAAGGCACACGCATTTTCGTTTTCTAGTAGATACCTTCTTCTTAGTCAAACGCGGCTTCGTGGATGAAGGAGTACGAACAGAATTTTTAGTTTTGGATAATTTTCGATGTTTCGAATTAAATTCCATCCCTTTCGAAAAAACGGCGGTCGAAACTTGTTTCTGTCGCGATGACAGACTAAACGACAGAAGTATTCATTTGTTCATATTGACATAAAATTCAAATACATATGGCATTTCAATTTAAAATGGACAGCCTGTAGTAATTTTATACTGTTTTGTGCAAATTTTTTATTTTAAATGCTAATTAAGAGGGTTATACAATTTGAATTTTGTTGCAATATACATGAAACATTTTAAACTTATTTGACCTTGGCGCTAATTTTTCATTCGTCTATGTTTCTCTATGTTCGAACGTCAAATGAAAAAAACCATTTCTATAGATATGGCAACACATAGGGTCGATGCTGCTGTCAAATATTGATTATTGTCTATAGTCTCTTTTTCATCCGGTTGTCAAGATGGTGAGTTTTGTGGGAAGAAATATAAAATTAATCACTAAAAATCCAAGTGAAATCCGTGACAAGTGAAAGATTATGGTGTTTTCCACGTGTAGCAGTGCAATGAAAATGTGTTCTTTTGTTTATTTCAGGGTATCGACATCAATCATAAACACGATAGGAAAGTTAGGCGTACAGAAGTAAAATCTCAGGATGTATACCTGAGGTTATTGGTCAAGGTGAGTTTCTCTACTTTTCAGTCTTCAAAATTTCGTTCTATAGGCTAGGCATTCATAGTTTTTACATAAACAACCCGTATTGTAAATGGTACAATACCTAACCTAAAACATTTATTGTTGACAGCTATACAGATACTTGGCCAGGCGAACAAATGCCAAGTTTAATCAGATCATCTTGCGTCGGCTGTTCATGAGCCGCATCAACCGGCCACCGATCTCGCTGTCTCGCGTGTCGCGTCACATGAAGAAACCTGGCCGCGAGGGTCTGATTGCAGTGGTGGTTGGTACCGTCACCAACGATGTGAGGCTGTATAAAGTGCCGAAGATGACTGTGGCCGCTCTCCATGTTACTGAAAAGGCTCGTGCCCGTATCTTGGCTGCTGGAGGTTAGTTGTTGTGATTATAATCTGGTAAGGTCAAAGTGAAACAAACATGTTTTTATAATGTTCTGACAAATAATTGAGCATTGCAAACTTATAGTTTTCACCAAATAAGAGGCCAAATTTGACACTTGTCATTGCGGCATGATTATGGATGTGAACTGATCATATTGGTAACCATATTAAACAATTTTCACGAGAAATTGATTCAAAATTTTATGAGTTTGTGATTGTTTAGATTATTTTATGGTTCATTGCTTTTCAGTTCTAGATAGTACAATTAATATTCATTGAAACATTATGGTATAATATAAGTATTTTAAATGATCACAATGACAACCTGTACTTGTTGTTATAGAGTAGTTATATTACTACACTACATTAGTTCATAAGGACAACCTGCAGTTATAGCAAAATTGTGAAGTGTGAAAACAAAAGGCTTGATAATTTAAAATTTTTATTCATGGTTATCAAAAGATGAGCCAAAATCCTCTATTGAGCCAGTGTCACCAGTACTTGGTACTTGGTGTAACAGGCTGGTGTCCGCAAGTGTCACCAGTATATATAATTAATAATAATAATAATAACGCACACACTCAACATAGCCCCGCACTAGGGAAACCCTGTGTCACGGGTGCGATGGACATACACATAGACAACCACAAATTACACCCAAACTCACGAGAGAAATAATTGTAGGCCATACAAATATAAATAATCCGGCATGGTAACCGTTCGGGCACGGAGGCAGTTATAATTAATTTATTTATATATCAATATTTACATCGGTATAGATTTTGATAATTCTTTATTTATTTTCTCGTTTTTTTGAATGTTTCCAATTCAAAGGAAATACAAATCTGCATGGCTTTACAGCTATGAGTATGGGGCTCTTTTAAATTTTCTTTTTAATGTATAAAAGTCAATATTTTTTCTGAGAAATCAAAGTGATTGTGAAATATGGCAATTAATTGATTACAACACTATAATTAATAAAAAATATAGATTGAGGATGTAACTGTTTTTTTTTGTGGAATTCGTGCGAAGACAGTACTTGAAATATATTTTGTTATATGATATAGTGTTTCTATAAAATTTATGTACTTTTTTAAACTCAATAAGTTAATAATTGTTTATTGTTTCATTGATTGCATTCAAAGTTACATACTATTGTCTGCTTTAGCTGTCAAATTTGGCCTCTTATTTGGTGACGACTATAAATATTGTCTAATTAAAAACTGTAAATCAAATTATTTACATTGACGCAATTGTACTACTTGTAATGTTACAGCTAATTAATTTGAATTGATTTTTTAATTTTATTTCAAATTTATTATATGTATACATACTTATTAAATTTTGCCAATTTTTTTTTGCCAGTTTCTTATCCAAAACTTGGCTACTATTGTTATACTTTTCTGTTCTCGTATCTTTTGATCTTTTGTGAGTGTAACAGGTTGAAAGGCCCACACTACTTATAGGGTCGTATTCTAGAACTCTACTCAATGCTCAAGTCATGATTTGAGTATGGTTTAAAGCACTCGAAATCATATTCAAGTCCCTGCCATTAGGGTCGTATTTCCAGTGCTTGTGTTGCCAGTGCAATCCTGACTTGAGCATTGGATAGAGTTCTAGAATACGACCGTCAGTCTCTTAGTGTTACCGCATCGCAGGAAAAACATTGACACTCTTGAAATTCTTGAAAACCCTGGGAAAGATGAGACTTTCAAAAGTCACACTTGTACGCAGTCAAAACATGATATTGTATCATGTTTTGAATTAAGTCAAATTATTAAAAAAAAGCATAGTAGGAACATTCGAAACAAAAGATGTTTCAAATAGAGAAGATCTGAGTTTATGACTCATTCTATATCATAGCTTTCAAATATGATTTTAATAGTAGGTAGGTAGCTATATAATTTTTTCAGCTTCAACAACAACCTATTGTGCCAGAGTTTTACATCTAGGAATACACATCACTACTGATATGTATTTTGACATGACATGTTAGCATGACAGGGAGCTACTTGCTCGAGAGCGACATAAAGCGTGAGATGTCTATGCGAGAATAGCAATATCTCGCGCTTTGTCGCTCTCGCCCAAGTCGCGTCTTATTGTCCTGTTGCTACCCTATTGCCCTACTGAACTGTATTTTTTTTTTGTACAAGTTAATATCTTATTATATTCACTGATTCTGTGAACCAGTTGAATGTTTTTTTCTGAATCCAATTTGGTGCTCTGGAACCAAGCCTTCTTCATGAAGATCCCAAATTTTTTAATATTTTTCAATTAAACTACTTATAAAAGTCTCAGTATTCTCGAGACTGAATACATCAGCCTCGAGTCTGGACAATGCTAAAATATGTGGACTCACAAAATTTTTGAGACTGAGATTACCTGAGATGTAAGTCCTATAGTGTTGTGTAACACTACTGCTCCACTACTGATTTTATTTAATTGCAGCTTATTTCTGTCAATGTTTTGTTATCAGTTCATAAACCAGATTTAGAATTTTCAAGGCATGAAGAAAATAGTCACTGCAAGTAGTAATTCATTTGTGTTGTAATGTTTACACATAAGTAATATTTCCCAGCAAGTGTTTTTCAGCGTGGGAAACTCTTTCAATTTCACTATAGCTATTTCATCACTTAGCAAACAACACACTTAAATAATTTTGAACTATTTTAAAGGAGAGTGAAAAAACTGTATTGGTTATTGTATACAAGATTTTGCAAGCTATTGTTAATAATAGGTGCTCCATTTATAGATAACAAATAATTTTATGTGCTATGGTATACCATTTTCATTGGTATTCTTGTTTAATTTTGACTTCAGTAACTTTAATCATCTTGTACTTTAAAAGAAAGTGCAAGCTTTGGTTACTTTCGAGGCAAAGATCAGAAAGTAATTGGATGTAGTTTGTAATTATATTTTTACGTGTGGGTGCTGTTCATTTCTACCTAAACCCCAAATTTGAGTATTTTTAGGTGGAATATTTTATCTATCTCAGGTACTAAAAGGACAATAGATTTATTATAACTTTAAGTGAGTATATATTATTTTGTGATATCTTTTGGAGCTACTCGAGACGCGTCAGACAAATACTATGATTAAAATGTAGCGTAAATGTAGAGTTTCTAAAAGGTAGGGTCTGAAAAACAGCTTAAGCTGCGACTCTATCCTTTTTATCTACACAGTATCTATAAGTGATGTTATTTACGACTAAATTGTTTTGTAAATGTAGATAAATAAAGTTCTTTATTATTGTTATTATTATTAAAAAGTAAAAACCGCCAATATTCGTCTTTAGCGGTGTTGTTTGATAAGCGACGATTTGCTTCTTGTTAGTTAGTGGTTTTGTATGTGTAAACAAAAACATTGTGCTGGCACTTTATGGAGTATACTTTATTTGATTCATTACTTGTATCAATTTCCTGATTCTGATAACTTTGAAGAGTTGATTATTTGCACTCTTTATTCAAAATGCTGTAAAGTTAGCAATTTATAATATTCAGATATTATAACAATTTTTAATTCCCAGGTGAAATTCTGACTTTCGACCAATTGGCGCTTCGTGCCCCCACCGGCCGCAAGACAGTGCTGATCCAAGGTCGTCGTAATGCGCGTGAGGCCGTCCGTCACTTCGGCCCGGCCCCAGGCGCACCACGCTCGCATACTAAGCCGTATGTGCGCACCAAGGGACATGAGAAGGCACGGCCCAGCCGTCGCTCTAACGTGTAACTTTATAAATATAAGGACTACAGCCTATTTATGGTGTTTTATTTGCCACTTTAATTGCATGTGTAATATTTTTATGTTGTATGTCAAGTATATCTCCCATTATTGAAGTGAATATATTGTCGGTGTTTTGTAGAAAGTTCGAAATAGTGTTGAAATTGTTGAAACAGTCATTAAAACCCTAAATATGCTTCCCGGAATTTTTTTCTAATTGTCGCTTATCTACAAAACACGACGATATATGACCTAAGTTATCCAAAAAGTAAAGGCGTCCATCTCTGTGCGCATAGTAATATCATGCAGGATTATGTACTTCTTCACCTGGGTGGACCTTGGGCAATTGTTTTTCCCAATAGCACACCCCGGACACTCCATACAATATTTACCTACTACTACTACATACAGCAAGGCGCTATCTGCACACGCGCAAATGTGTGCGTGAAGTAGCAGGGTTACCCATCACTTTCTACTATTACGTTACGTGATCCGGCAACATAGAAAAAATGATAACGCGAATCTATTATCTATGATTCTATTAATAGAATCCAGAATCCTAATAATTACACATGTCTGCTATGTATTTATATCGATATAATATCATATTTGTCATTAAAATGATGACAAACAGCCGTACACAGCACAAATCACGACCATTATAAATAGTAACGTAAAATGATGTTTTATATTAACGTACAAGTTTCGTAATGAATAAAAGAAAACTATATTCAAATATCAAAGCCGTCTTCGCGCGAAAACGGCTCACCGGCAGCCTTGTTATCGTTCGGTCAATGTGCGGGGCGTGGTGCGGTATCTAAAGCTAGGGAGGGGCGGAGTGTCCGTTCTCTTTACTTTTTGTTCTCTGCCCATAGGTCACCTTAGGTATAAAATAGAAAATGATGTTGGTTATTTTTAACCGACTTCAAAAAAGGAGGAGGTTCTCAATTAGACTGTATGTTCTTTTTTTGTATGTATGTTACGCGATAACTCCGGTATTTATGAACCGGTTTTATCCGGTATTTGTGAAAATCATCCACCTTTAAGGGTGGCTGTTCACGCATGAAAATTCATTTTTATAAATAGCGCCTAACTTTAATTTAGGAGCAATTATTTTAATGGTTGATTTCGCTATTTCTTCAGTTCAAGGCATTTTTCTCTCAATATACTAATATAGTAGTGAGAACCGATTATTATCTCCGGTGTCATGTCCTATATACTGGCGAACTAGGGGATATTTCAATAAAACTTAGCAAATAGACGCAATTCCCACGCACTTTTGAGGTCGGTTTTTTTAGTACTCTGTACTGAGATTTAATGACATTTAATTTGGTATCTCTGGTACCAAAAAATAAACTACACGCAAGTGTTGATAAGTATTCATAGGTTTTTCACAGATGGCGCTACGGCAAAACAGCCCAGACGTTTAATAGATAGAAAAATCAAAGATCGGCAACAAGCACATAATAGAGAGACATTCGTGAGGTCTGCTCAATGAAAAGGGTCTGTTAATTCGTGCCGTACCTCAGTTGAGCGGTTAGACCAGATCTGTAAACAGCTGCTGGTTTGAATCTGGCCGGATTTTTCTTTGTGTTTGTTCATCTTTGCATCAAAATAAGACCAAACTAGTGGGATATTTTCACAAATATTAATATCATTGTAATAAAAACATGATATTCAATAAAATAAATATTGCAAGTACTTGGTGTAACGGGCTGGTGTCCGCAACTCGACAATATTGCAAGTATTCCAAACTTTTATCATATAACATTTAAATTCGCAGTTGAAAAAAGTTAGTTTGTTGCTGTTCACTTCTGGCTGAGTGTGTCCAAGAGACACGAGAATTGTAATGGGAAGAAGTCCTACCATACGAGTGGTAGAAAATAACTAAAAATATCAAGATGCGCAGATTGATTAATATGGCAACCATGTAATTAATAAAAATATATAGCCAGAGAATAATGTTCAAAGTATTAAAATTAAAAACAAACTAAATATATGCAACTAAAATATCACAGATTTATTCAATTACGTCTATATACACATAGTTTACAACTTTTTTAATTACAATAAGTAGATATCCAGAAATTGACAAGTAAGTCGTCCTGTGGACTGACTCCGAGAGCTTGTTTTAACCTTGTTATAGCCTCCGATTTAGCACCTGATGCTTCCGTGGCAGACTTCACAGCTTTTGCTATTCTGTAAAGGAATGTGTTGATGAAATATCCAAGGCAAGGTAATTTGATAATTACATAATATCCGTAAGAGAGTACCGAGGATATCTACTATGAGTTACAGAATATTGTCCTTAGCGACCGCGTAAAATATTTCTATTCAAAATGCTACTTATTGTTACCGCTAGAGGCGCTGTACAATTTGCCGTACAAAATAGTTAAAAAGCATTTTACAACTGTTACTGAACATTCGGCCTATTCCACTAATTCCTACCAGCTGTCCTCCCTGGAGGGGACTAGAGGATTTTTTTCCACTCTTCCCTACCACACCATCACTGGTTGGGTAACTACTTACCCTTATTTTAAACAACTCGTGGCAGAAGGACAGTGCAGCACATGGCGCATGAAACCACATACTTTGAAAGTTCAAAAAATTCAGCAGAGACCGTTGAGAAAGAGTTCGTCCAGGGAAGTACTGCCACCTTACATATTTCTGCCACCAAGCAGTAATATTAGCATTAATGCGTTCTGGTTTAGAAGGGTAAGGGTGCTGGTGAAATTACAGGCTCATGGGACTTGTCAATTTACGTCTCAGGTTGACGGGCGCACTGGCAGTGCCCCTCAGATCTTTGCGATTTAAAGCTCCAACTGGCTCTACAACTGTCATGGACAGGCGTGTAGCTTACCAACTGGCGCACAACTTGCTCGATTTGTTTGCTATCACTATTATAAGAGTAGCTTTGATAAAAAAAATGTAATTCAATGATTATCACTAGTATCAGGTTTCTTACCACGGTATGACTTCTTTTTATTTTCCCGACAGTCAACCCGTGACCATGGAGCGTGCAACCGTTCCGAAATATCGGGAAAATAAAAAGAAGTCATACCGTGGTAAGAAACCTGATACTAGTGATAATCATTTAGTGAATAACCACGAAAGTCTTAAAATCTATAAAATGTAATTCGTCAATTATTTACAAATTAGTTACAGAAATAGATATTTGGTACTTATCGCGACATCTGGTGTACCAATAGGTACTAAATACCCGACTACGCTTTTGTGTTCGATCTTTTTATTAATAATTATGACAGTTTTTATAGTTAAGTCTGGTGGCTCACTCATAGCCAACTGTTATGGACAGGCATGTAGCTTACCATCAGGCGCACGAATTGTTCGTCCCGTCACTTGATATTATAAAATAGAAAGGTACAAAAGAACACTAAGTGTTCCAGAACTACTCAATACTCAAGTCAGGACTTGAGTATTGCAGTGAGCACTGAAAATCATACTCAAGTCCTTGCCGTCAGGGTCGTATTTCCAGTGCTTGAAATCATACTCACGTCTGCTCAAATCCTGACTTGAGCATTGAGTACAGTTCTGGAATACGACACTTAAGACTTTTTTCTGAAGAGCTTGATTCACGTGGCCGAGTGAATATGACGTATTTTGAAATGTTTGTAACAATAATAATTAAAGAAGAATGCACCTATCTAGTACATACCTAGTATATTATCAGAAATAGAGACGAAATGTCATTTAATTTGTTTTAAAACTATTCTGCCAAATCATTACGGTGACAAGTGCGCTTTGATTGGCCAGCCCGAATTCAAAACAATTGACGGCTTTCACCTCGACTTCAAATCGACCAGTTTAAGTTGAGATTTGCTATAATGGACGATAATTGAAAAATTACATACTTAATAATTAATTACCGATGAAATGTGTTTTCGTTTGTTTTGTAATTAGACGTTTTGCTGTTTTACCCACACCACCGAATGGAACAGGCCCCCATAGTTAGAGATATTACCTTTATTACAATAAATACAGATGTTTTTTGGAATATACGGAAACGTATACACAGGTCAGTTGTTGGCGCTGTATTATGACGTGACATAAGGCCCATTTGCCTGATGAGTTGCCAGGGATGGATGGCCCTTATTTCGTCTATTTCTGGTTATGAACTCGATGAATGCACCATACTATGAACATACTCACTCATATTTATGACGGATATGACTAAGTCTTAAAACTAGTAAAGAAAAATCTTGAGGAGCTCTTCTTATGTATATAGTTGTCACTAGAAACTACACATTATAAACACTGCTCATGATATATTACTATAACACTTAACAACTTACCCTAGCCATTCTAAATTCAATGACATAACATATTGATGTAAAACTGTGTCGTTAAACTTTGGATTTTCTATTGCACCTTCTATTCTATTAATTATTGTTGGACCTGAAAATTGAAAGCATCGATTTTAAATTAATAAAACACTGCCAACCATTCCATTCACACCTTTTGTTTTAATAGATATCCCATCTAATGCTGGGCGAAAAATTCAATCTCTGGCAATATTTGTTGCCGTGGATAGTTTAGGCTTTCACGCCTAAACCTTTCTTGGGTTTATAGTAGTGACCGTCAGGATGGCTGCTCACCTGTGGCGTCTAGCACTGTATATTCAAGAATTGTTACCTATTTGCTACCTTTTCTAAATAATTGCTACCTTAGATATATTCTGAGAAATTGAAAAAAACAATTGACCAGCCATTTTGATATCAAGATGGCCGGTCGCCACTTTGTTCAGCACGAAGATTTTCTAGAAGTATGTATTACCAAAACGTATTTAAAAAATTCTACATTTGAATTACTAGATGTTTTATAGTTTTATTTTAGTAGCAGTACAGTGCCTTGTGAAAGAGCTGCCCAGGGAACTGCCTTACCTAACATTATCTATTTCTACCGCCAAGCAGTGATTGTGAGCATTTTTTTAGTACGTTTACGAGTACGTTTTTGTATACAAATATTTTACGCGGTCCCTAGCGAAAACTGACACTGTAAACTTGTAATAGGTACCTAGGACTTTCAAAAGTATTTATTAAACCATATTAACACTTTTTATAGGTTATATTTTAAGTACATTTATCACATAAGCATAATAAATATTCAAAATTGCCATTAAGATGTTTATTGTTCGACTGACAGCGCGGTTGTCAATCATGCAGTACCAGTTAATAATAACTTGTATAAATTACTGCAGTAAAGTGTAAAAACAGGATTTTGTATCATATTTTCACTAAACGAATATATTGTATTATCATAGTTATCATTTAAGTTTTGATTGATTTGATTTGATTTGAATCGTAAATATAAATTACAAAAGTAAACTAAATAATCAAATAGCAAACTGTTCTTTTTCTACACATTGCATGCGCAAAAGATGGAAAGAGATCCATTACGTCGATTTCAAGAAGCTTATAAAAGTATAAACTTCTTGGTCATTTTGAATTGTTCGAACCACAAGCGATTGAAATATTTAGAACAAAGAAACTATAGAGTCGCTTTGATTTTAATCTTATTTTTAAAATGTTTTTTATTAAACGTTAGCAATAATTAACAAAATAGTGTTGTACTCGTTTTACGGCTTGGGATTACTTATCAGAAGTCAGAAAATACATTTGCCCGAAATAACGTTAGCTAGAATTTTCAAAACAAAAGCTAATTTTGTGTTTGTGAAAAGCATCAATTAAATTAGGCAGTACTGTAATGACGTTACAATTTAAATGAAATGTTTTGGTTTTTTTATATTTCATTACATGTCACTACATTTGTATAGGTTAACTTCGGACATTTTTTCGTGGTTTTTGTATGAGATCTGATGTCCATTTGTTGGTAGGTCAATGATAAATGTATTTAAATGTGTAGTTACAAAGAGCAACCCCTTGAGTTTCTTGCTTACTCTTCTCAGGGGAATCTGCGTTATGAATGAGCAGTAAAGTTTAATCAGTATGACGATTTCTAGTGTAATTTGCTTATCTATGAAGTTATAATTATTTCGCCTTGAAAAGAGTTTTTCAATAATAACTGTTTCAGTGACACTGGAATGGCTTAAAAAATTTAAATAAAAATACTGTTAATCATTAGTTTCTCACAGGTGGCCTTGATGACCAAAAAGCCGTTTAAAACTAACAAAGGTCTGTAACAACCACATGGAGAAATTGGTAAGATCTGCTGACTCGGTCTGTAACTCAGTTGGTTAAGAGCATTGGCCCTGGCATGGCAGCAAATACTGGTTCAAGTCCAATCAGATTGAAGAAATTTTTCTTTGTGTTGTTTCGATTTTTGTATCGTGATATTTAATAACTTTAAAAAAAAAGAATGACCTCAAAACTTCGTGGAATTACATCTATTTTATAAGTTTACTTACATTTGATAGGTAATATCCCAGGCCATTTATAACAAAAGTTACTATTCTCCATCTCTTCAATGATGCATAGTCCTGCTGATGGTACCACATTCTCCACAGTTGTTCTGAGGTTAGGAATATTTTCGTTTTCAGATATTGGTAGTAGTCTTGCTAAGCCCTTTATCAAGTATGCTACGTTAGTGTTTGTAGGCTTTATGATAATCTGTAATCAAATTTTGTAACTATTAAGTCTCAAATGGGAAGAACAGTTACAGTATAAATGGTGCTCCTTTGTGAACTTTATCTATGTTAAGTCAGATAATGCTGCAATTCTATTCCCATTAAGTTATTAACAAACAAAAGCTAGTCTGAAAATCTCTCTTTGTTGCTAATGGTGCAAAACTTTTTGATTCTGTGTATCGTTATCTTATATCATAGTACATTTATCTCTATTCAACTTAATACCGGGTCAAGAGCACGTCAAGCTTGACACTTAAGATTTAAATCCAATTCCAAGCCGCTTACGATAAGAACGGTCCAAAGTTTGCCTGTAGATCATCATCAACCCATTTATACCTCCCACAGCTGGGCACGAGTCTCTTCTCAAGCGAGAATGTTGTGAGCCTTCTTCGACGTGTAGGTTTCATCACGATGTTTTCCTTCACCGTAAGCTCATGGTATATTCCACAAATTCCCACTGGTGGGGATCCTAATATTGTATTCTACAAATCCCCACTAAGTAGTACTGCTAGGACGAGAGATTTGTTGAAAAAATCCCCATCGAGATATTATGGTAAATTGCGCCTGCTATGCTCCTACTAAAAATCTTATACAATAAAAAAAACTTGCACTTTGTGGACTACACTAAAGACATTTTGAATATTTTAGTAGTAGAATCGAGTTGATTTTTCTTACGCGTCCAATGGCGAAGATAATCAAATTGTTTGAGTACACATTTAAGAATAATTTTATATTTTATAGAACGTTCAATTCATTTTAAATTAAGAAAAAAAATCACAATTGATAAGTGTCGTAATGTTAACGGGGTATTGGCGCTGAAAATCAAATCTGTCTACAAATGTAATATAACTAACATATAGAATAGTATCTTGGTGGGGATTTTTTTCCACAAATCCCCACTGTGTATTAAGTACTACATTAGTGGGGATTTGTGGAATAAAATTTTATTAAATAAACTACACATTTATATACTAAATGATAAAGCCAATAGTTAAAGTATTCAGTTTTTTCTGTTTTATGAAGAACTTACATGAGTTCCAGTCAAAATACAATACATGAGTACCCGAAACACAGGTTTGCTTAACAAGTTCTCAATAGCTCTTAATGGCATTCCCTCCTCTTTTACAGAGCAGGCATTTGCCTCGAATATTCCTTTGTCAGTCTTAGGGTTCAGCTTTTGCAATAAATCTAGACTAGTATATTGAGTTTCTGAATAAACTAGAGCACCAGCTTTTAACATGTATGTAAAGTGTGAATGTAGTTTTTTAAAAATGTTTTCTTCACCTGCAGAAATAAAAAAATTGTAATTAAACATTTATATACTATATATATACTTTTCTTAATACCGTATGAGTTAGTGAACTAATTAAGCAGTGTTTTTTAAGTACTACATAATTATAAATTGGTTCACAGAAAGTGGCTGACAGATGGAAGACATCCAACAAACCGGATTCATCCTCTAATAGTGGCAACACTCTTAGCGCCCAGAGTTATACGACGCGGAAGTTTTCCCGGCGCCGAACGAACTAACCGGCGAACGCCCAGTTACCACGCTTTCATGTAGGTACATTAATGGCGAATCTGAATTCTATTTACTAGGCAACAATATTTAAATTCCTCTGAATAATACAAACGCCGGGCGGCCGTCTCGTAGACCAAATTCAAGCCAGGCTCGCCCACGCGCCCAGTACGCTCATTTAAGTTAACGTAAAAGCTAAATGAATAGAGCGTATTTTGCCATGACAGTTAGACTCACGAGGTCGCTGCGCGGCGGCAACGCGGTCTCCACGATTATTCGTTCGACTCCACGAATATTAATTCGCGGCGAATAAGTGCGCCCTTATAGCCGTGCAGTTTAAAGTATCGTGGCTTATAATATTTAAATGAAGTTGTTCACAATATACTATAATAGGACTAACTGTCGTTCAATACTTTTTCTGATGTTACGACGACAGATTGTCGAGACAATGGGAATAGCTAACAGTTGTCGGACGATAAATAAACTGTCACGACAGATAATCGAAGCCACATTAGACGTTACGTTTTATTTATCGTTGTCTGCACGTGCACCGATAAATTGTCGTCACGATCTAGTTGGAACAACTCGACACGACAGATAGTTGTGATATAGAAACAGGCTAGATGTGACAGTCGTCTAATGATAAATAAATGGGAACGCGATATTAGAGGTGGAATATTTTCTTAAAATAAGATCAGGACTACTACTGAGGTTATCTCCTTTCCTACGAAAAAAAAGAATCATCGAAATCGGTTCATAAATATTGGAGTAATCACATTGACCTACCAACAAATGGACATCAGGTCTAATACAAAAACCACGAAAAAAATGTCCGAATTTAACCTATATAAACGTAGTGACAAGTAACAAATATAAAAAACTAAAACATTTAATTTAAATTGTAGCATCATTGCAGTACTGCCTAATTTTGCTTGTAACAATTTAAGGGCCCAAAAACACCATTCAGCTTCTACTGGACTTACTTAACAAAATGCACCATATTTAGCTTCGACTGAAAATTACTTGAACACAAGAGTAATGGAGTAGCCTTTCTCCAAAATATTAATTAATTTTTATATATATTATTATGTCGAAATTTGTCAAATTCACTTAAACATATAACAAAGAGTTGGGCAGATACATACATACAAATATTACTACAAATGTGAAAATAAGCGTGTACTATAAGTAAATGCACCAATATATCCGTAATTCCAAAAACCGACTTATAATAAAACCGTTACGTTTTAAAGTAATTTTGATGCTTCTCACAAAGCCAAAATTAGCTTTTGTTTTGTAATATTCCTAAAAAAATACATTTGACATGAAAACTCGAGCTAAACGTTATTTTGGGCAAATGTGTTTTTTGATTTCTGATAGGTAATCCCTAGCCGTAAAACGAGTACAACAATGTTTTGTTAGTTATTGCTAACGTTTAATAAAAAGTCATTTTAAAAATAAAATTAAAATCAACACGACTCTTTAGTTTCTTTGTTCTAAATATTTCAATCGCTTATGGTTCGAACAATTGAAAATGACCAAGAAGTTTAAATAAGCTTCTTGAAATTGACGTAATAGGTCTCTTTCCATCTTTTGCGCATGCAATGTGTAGAAAAAAGACAGTTAACTATTTGATTATTTTGTGTGCTTTTGTAATTTATATTTACGATTCATTTATATATAAATTGAATACTATAAAAATGAAGAAAATAACACTTTTAAATGAGAACTATGATAACACAATATATTTGTTTGGTGAAAATATGATACAAAATCCTGTTTTTATACTTTACTGCAGTAATTTTTACAAGTTATTATTAACTGGTACTGCAAGATTGACAACCGCGCTGTCAGTCGAACAAACGGAGACTGTTGCGCGATTGACGCTCTGTATGCGATTTTAACGCCCTACAGGTGCGGACACTTTTTAACGCGAACCCGACGTCCATTTCTTGGTAGGTCAATGAGTAATCACATAAGCTACACTAACAGTCGAATTGAGAACCTCTTGTTTTTTAAAGTCAGTTAAAAACAAAACAACATTTAATACATACCAGTTAGTTGTATAAGGGATCTAGACTGTCCAAAGTCATTTCTTCCAGTTCTAAGTCTGAGGGCTCTTTGTGAACACACTTTTTGTTCTTCATTGTACACAATATCTGCTAAATCTTGCAGTTCCTTGGCTATTTTCTAAAATTTTATTGAAAAATCACATTCCTAATTTAATATGAATATTGCTTTATTTTTATTTAATTTATTTTGTGAATTAAAGGTTTTGGTTTTGTAATTATAGGTAATATACACGTTAAATAATTATCTAAAATTTCAAACGTGAAATGTCTTTTAAAAATACAAGACAAAAACTTAATAGACATTATATACCTGCATATGTTCAGAAAGTACAGGAGTGATATTCAACAAGAACATCTTATCCTTCATGAGCACTACAATGGAGAACCATCTCTTGAGGCCTCTGGCTCTGGTGTCTCGGAGTTGGAACATAAGGGTAAGTACATGTCCTTGTGTATCACCAAAGTACACCACTCCACCTTCTTTACTCCAGCTCACCTGTAAAATTAATGTGAGGCAATGTTAAGAATTATTACTGTTAGAAGTAAGCATTAGGTTAGACTTAGTTAGAAGTAATCAGCGAATAAAGGGTATTTTTATTTATTTATTTATTTTATAATGTTAATGTGCTAGTCTTCCACACTTAAGGTTGACCTTTAACTCTTGCCACACATGTGTTCATAGAATGAATGGCGTAATTATGGCGCTTCTACCTTTCCCACATAGTGAGGGTACAAAGTCAACCATAAACCAAATGAGAAATTCCTAAATATGCCGATTAAACCAAATGAGAAATTCCTAAATATGCCGATGGTTATGCATGTTTTGCAGTTTAGTATTACAAGCAGAATTCTAAAAGATGATCACTAGAGGCATGGTTAAGAAACTAGTAGAAGATTAATAACCTATGTACCTAGATGGTCCCAAATGGTGCTTCGATGAGAAAAATTTTAAATAATTTTTAAATTTTGTTATAAATTGTTTTTAATGCTTGTTTTGGATACATTAGACAATTTTTGCTCTTAATAATTTTCCTCTAAGACTGAAAGTTATCAAGACAGTTGCTTTGACTAAGTTTAGGAGATGTTCTGTCTTTAGTCAAAATGTGTAGTC